ATTTATTATCCGAATCACCGAAACTCAAACAGAACAAGAAATGAATATGTATATGCTATACAAAAATATGTCATCTTCATAGCAATGCTTTATGCACTCCTCTTAGATGGCTGTTCAAGCTTGATTTGATTTTAGCTTTGAAAGAGCACTCTGGTGCAAATGGACAAATGAATTGAGGTTCCTTGCCACACTCAAATCTGAGATGTTGATTCAGACCTTTCTTCCACTTATAGCTCCTATTGCAGTTAGGACATCCAAATTTCTTTTCTGAAATACCGGAAGATAGATTAAATTTAACTACCGGAAGTTATAAAACTATACTAATAAAAAATATATAAAACACACGTCTCGTTCCTTTAAGAAGTGACGTTTTAAAGGCAACAAGCAAACAATATGATTTTTTTCTCCATTAGAATACACCCCCGCGTATTGTTATTGGGTAGATATTCTTGTTCGCACGCAAGGTATTGCTTTGAATATGTCAGAGATGTTATATTTGCTTATCACTTTAGAACAGCTAAGCTCTTTTAAGAACGTGAATACCTACACAGCAAGTAATACGGGTACCTGTTTTCCTAAACAAACTTTATATCGTACATAGTTCATTTTTCTTTCTTTTTTCCTATCGCATGCTTCCTGTCCAAAAGATTTTTCCCGCGTGGTATGTTCTGTATTTGCATCTACACTGGTAACTGAAATGCTCTATTGAACATCTATTGTTTTTATAACTTCAGTCACAGTTTGGGCAAGAGGATCTCACCAAATAGCAAAATAGATCATTAACTTTCCTCAGAAAAAGTTCAATTTTGAAATAAGAAATAAGGTGACTGCTTGCCCGCTTTTTTGAATAAGTAGCTAGTTGATCGCATCCTCTCCAAGACTACAATAGTAAATAGTAATATGGATGTTAAAATTACCGAGAACAACCAAAGAAATCAGAACCACAAATAGAACCTGGAGCTGAAGTCAAAATATCTGATTCTTAAATTGCAATTACGAGTATGACATTCTTGAACATTAAAAAACAATTCGTTGTCTGGTTAGTTTATAAAATTAAAGCTTGCCCAATATTACATCAGAATTTTATACTGTTTTGAACATTCAAAATGACCTAAAATTAACGCAACTGTGCCTGTGGGTAATAAAAAAATCGTAAGCACACCTTGAGTGTGTAACATAACCTTAGAAATAGTAGCTATTTATTTACTACATAATATAGCAACAATAGTTATAAGGAATGGGTAAATGAATATGTTTCAATAAACAGAACGACAACGCCTGGATGAGGAAGAGGTGTATATGTATAAGATGATAAGTTTTAATGGACATTTGATGACTTCAACAATGTCTCCCTATTAACGTGTTCATATTATTTTGGAGCCAAATAGAGATAAAATCGTTTCATTATGGTCTTATGAGTTTAGGTTTTGCACGAAATTTATATCGAGTATCATGGCAATGAGTAATTTTATCGCGCTCACTGACAAACTGGTGATAATGGCCGATAGTATGTAAGAAATAAAGACGATTGATATCAAATAATTTTTTTGTTACATACATCGTTTGCTGAATATAGTTCCACTATATCATCACTGACTTGGATTAACGTGATGTTAACAGCACGCTTGTATTATGTTGTCATCAATATTGTCCAGCTTGGCTGGGCATTCACGTTATTGTCCGGTTAATGTCATTGCCCGTAACACGGAGGTAACATACAAATAAAAATAATCCTAATAGTTGTTGTCTATATTAAATATTAAAAAAATGTACAATTACGAATAAGAAATACGATCTTTGTTTGAGTACACGAGGACACTTGAATAGTCAAGAAATTTGTTTATACTTACTATCAGTTTATTAGTATTAAACACGATTTCTACATTTTTATAGAAATATCATTTAATAAAGTTACACTCAGATTCAATTAAGCAATGTCTGATTTAGTAATTTTCTGTCAACTTTATGTACAACGGACATGTGTACGGTAAGGTTACAATTAAAATGCGATTTGTAATTGCAGCTGAACATTGGACAACAGAACTGAGGTTCTCTTCCACATTGGTACTTTTTGTGCTGAAGAAGTCCTGTTCTGTAAGTGTAGCTACGACTACAAGTTTCACAGACATGCATCTTTCTACCTGAAAAGAGATTTCGAATGTCAGATAATCAAACGAACATAAAAAGGTGAAGAAAACATCTAGCATTAATTTTTCCTCTTACCTTTGTTCCTAATATATATATGTAAACAACTCTGAGATACTCACCCAAACATTGATATACGTATACTGATAGCCCATTTCTTGAAGTATTTAAATTGCACGCTCCGCTTTGATGATATTTGATACTTACATGACAGCCAATGCGCATATTTTCAATAACATAGCAACATAAATATGCGTAGCATATTGCACCATAAAATCTCATGACTTTAAAATTAACAGATTACACAGACTGATAGACAATCGGGGATAATTACAGACAAACAGACGAAAATGATTTTTATGTATTGCGATAGAAATTATAGAAGTCCGTTTGTACTACATCAAAACTTGAGTCAGACTTTTTAAGAGTCTGCAGCATGTTGCGGCACATGTGCCTCTGTATTCTGTATATGGAGCCGGGCGATCAGAAAAGATCACAGCACTTAGGCCCGTTGTACGTCCTCCTCAGAGATCGTTTAAGGCTGGCTCGTCAGCCACCACGGACTGTTGAAAGATGTAGCGAATGCGACTCAGTAGAGTTTCCCTTACATAGGGATGTGTGACTTAATATCATGTTACAGACATGTTTCCTTAGCTGATCATGAAGTTAAGGGACTTTCTAATTAAAAAGGCGTACGTACTACTCAATTAGTAAATACCTGCAAGATTTGTTCCTATAGTAAAAATCACGTAGATGCGTCACCAACGTATATGGTTTCATCTATATTATTTATTAATTTATATATTTGTATGTGTTAATGTAATTTTAGCATAGAGGTTGTGTACCATCCTATACAAACTTGTTTGTCATTTGTGTGAAAACTAAGAATTGAATAGCCGACACTGTCCAGTTGCATTGCCAGTGGCAAACCGAAGTTGTTGTTTGAACATAGATATGGGCCTCTAAGTTGTTATATTGGAAACGTTCAAACGTACAAAAACGGTATTTCAGAAATACTAAAATTAAACGAAAAACTAAAGTAGAACCGGATTCCTACAGCTGTGTTCACAAGAACAACACAAATAGAAAAAAGCGAGCTCTACTCAATGACTACTGGATGTTGCAGGGTCATAACAAATTGTCAACAATTCTCCAAATTAATATTCATTCTTCAGGTAACTTTTTGTCTAAATTTCTTCACGCAAAAATTACTCCTACGCTTAAACATGAAACTTCACCTGAGATTATATACCATGTAATACAGTACCTTGGTACACAGAAATACACAATCACTTCACCACACAGTTATAATTCCTTACGAAGTTTTATTACTGACTAAATAAAGCACGAACTGATACAAGTTTCGATGGAAGATACTCGTCAAACATTTTTTGCTTGATACAAAAACACATTCGTTGTGTCTTAGGTATGTACATTAGAACCCGGACACACATACATTCTTGATCAATTAAGAATGCGTGATTCACAAAACCAGATTTTATCTCTGCCAATTGCGTTACGCACACATATCAAATCAAAACTATAATATTCAATGCAGCAAGAGTGTCTGGTCTACGAGCTTTTCAAAAAAATGTTTGAGATACATCTCGCGTTTTTAATCAACCAAGAATATGAGAACTCTTAAATTCCCTTTCGCTTCTAGCAAAATACATACTCGTTCATACGTAAAGATATATTATCCCTATGATGATGGTACACACATGATTTTTGAAAACAAAACATGAATATTGGTCAAATTTATTATTTGGAAAAAGTAATAGTAAATTAATTTACACAGAAGAACCGCAAATACACAAAGCGTTAGACTTCATTATGCTACAATACACAAAGCATTAGAACACATTCGTTTTAAAAGTCAAGTTACATTAGTAGGTTGCCATTCATTATAACACTAATTAGAATTTGATATATTTTATATAGTTTCCCTCTATAATATATCCAGAAAATACTTAAAAAAATGTTATACATCACTTGAGTTAACTATAATTAGAAAAAGACAGCACATAAAGTTAGCTAAAGGAAAGTGTACTAAACTACTCTCACACTTGAAGAGGTAATCTTCTCTCGTAAGTATGCAACATCAGACATTCATGATAAAACCTACAGTAAACGTTGGTATTTTTTAACACGTCAATTTCGGCAATGGAAGAGAGTATGCTGTTCAAAGTGACGTTGTTGACTATAAGCATTCCCACATTTCTCACAAACGAACGGACCTAAAATCAAAAATATGTCAAGCCATTGAAAAATATTTAAGGTAGTAATATAACTCTTTGGAATTATTCAACCACTTCCAACATGCAAATTCGACATCAGAATCGTAATTTTGCAAGTCAAAAATGAACTGCGTAGTTTCCTTTAGTATCATTTTACGGATTTATGGAGAAATAGTACAAAGAGGATGTCCAAATTGTTATTGCACTTTATTACCAATCTCAAGTCTACCAATATGTGCACATACGCATCTAAAAGTCTAAGCATCAAATTGGTATAACTCATAGTGTTGTATTATTTAAGTACGACATGCTTTCAGGTACAACGTAACTACATTTGTCAAATAGTGTGAGACTTAAAACGTAAGTTGGTTTGTAATCCTCAGAACCTTCAAACATGTTATATGTATGTCCCTTCCTGGAGCCGTCTTTAATAAAATGTTTTACCTCTGGACGTGCTTTTAGCTCGACAACTTTTTGTTCCTTTTGGGGGTCGTTATATCTTTTTCAGTGTCCACTAGCGGGTTTCCATTAAATGCACTGATTTGCCGATGATTTTACGGAACAATAGACATCATTCCTTAAGAGTACAAATTTTCAGTTGGGAATTCTGTGGATTACCTTTGAACAATTTGTGGACGATCTGTAAGATTTCTACTTGTAAGGGATAACAGTCCCCTTTAACTCTCATACCAGCTCATGTCAAGGATCAAAGAATTACAATCCGCACTTATCCAGTTTCTACTAGAACTTCGATGTTCCGATCTATCAGCTTCAGATTCTCCTTTTTTCCAAGATTTCATCGATGAGTCTATTGTTCAAAACCAGCTTATGTTTGCACTCTAAGTGGCTCTTCAAGTTGCTCTTGTAGTTGCAACGGTGATCGCACAGCCAACAAGTAAACTTTCCGACATTTCCACCGCACTGGTACTTCAGATGCCTTTGATAGGATTGTTTGTACTGGTACGACTTCGTGCAGTAACGACATGTGTAATCTTGTATTGATTTTTGAGCTGAAATAGAGATTGAAGTAACTACAGAAACCAAACCAATTGTTTCGGAAAAACCATAAAAATACAAATGAAGACCATATTGCTTCCTTGAAGAAATTAATGTTGTATTTGTTTGATACGTAACACTGCCAGGCAAAAGTTGCCGGACACATTTTGGCTGATAATTAAAACTGAAAAAAGAGAGAGGAGCGTTGTTCATTTTAATTCCTAGTCTGATATGTACCTTAAATAACAACACTTTCGCAACGCAAGTTATTTCTATACATTTGTTTGGTCAAAAATTATGCTTTTCACGTTCAATACTTCTATCAAACGTTGGTATCTTGTAAGTTACTAGATATTCCACCCGAATTGAAGACAAACTTGCATGAAATATCCAACTGATTGATGTTCATGCACGATCCGTCAATTGCAAGAAAATTACAGGAAGAAAGAATTAGCTGCTTTGTTAGTTTCTCTTTCATCTTGCTGCAACGGGTTATGATATTTCGTGCCATTACGTTTCTTCAAGAATAGATGTTTTAAGCTTCCTTCAAGTCTTTTTCAAGATGTTTCAGGGCACCTTGAGTTAGTTATATGATGTTTTGTAACGGTCTGTCCAAGTTCATTCCACAGTAATTCGATCGGATTGAGGTTGGGGACTGAGAAGAAGAAACCCCATGATTTGCAATAGGGGTCCAATCTTTGAACTTCTACACAGCTTAGTGGTTCTGATCATTATATTGGCTGCATAACGAAGTCTCACCGTAGAAACCACTGGGCTAACAGGAAGCCACTGGCAGCTTATTCCTTTTGAAGATCGTATCAATTATTTATGAACATTTTCTCCAAAGAGATACCTCTAATGATCATTGTTTCGTGAACCGAGCCTCGTGTATACGATTTTATTGAGTTACCGAAATCGTTCAATTCGGATACGTCCATCCATACCACGTTTTTGTAGTCATAAAAGCCCAATCTACCGACTACCAAAAAATATAGATCTATCTATTTACATTCGAATTTTTGCATACACTTTGTCGGAAATATGCCATATCCCTCAATGAAGGCTAGTATATCTCCGAAAACGCTTTCTATCAATCGTTGATATCCAGTGCATCTTAATAAGGGTAAAGGTATCCATATGTACTCAATAATAAATCTCACCTGACGTGATGGGAAAAATTATATGTTATTAGGTAATTTTTACCAATAATATACTAAGTGACATATAAATCCGAACACCCAGTTTAAATGGTTTTATTTTAATAAAAGTTGGTGAATGTATTTATCTTACTGTAAATAACAAGTGAAAAAATTTTCAGCCGTATCAGTTGGACATTCCGGTTTTTATACTGCTTTTTTTTAATTCACTAACACTCTAAAAATGAATATTTCAGCTGCAGTAAAGAATCAACGTTGGCGGATTTTGGTTCTTGACATCCTTTACGATCGGTTACGATGTCTAGAGTACGCAGACCTGTACGATTTCGTCAACTTAGTGAGTTTGATAGGGGCCGTATAGTGGGACTTCGGGAAGCTGGACTTTCTTTTCGGGCAATTGCAGTTAGAGTGCAAAGAAGTAGACACTGTGGTTAGGTGTTGTCAGGCATGGCTTCGAGAAGGCCGTACACAAAGAGCAAGGGGCACTGGACGCCGCCGTAGAACAATAGACCGTGAAGATCGCCGCCTAAGATTATTGGTCTTAAGGGACCGTTTCTCCACTACCAGGTCCATTGCAAATGAATGGTTTGCAGAACACGGAAGACCTATTGGCATGCGAAGTGTTTACCGACGAATGAGAAGTTTTGGCTTGTTTTCATACCGGCCACACTGGGTCCTCCCTTTAACTCGAGTTCGTAATCGCCTTGAGTGGTGCAGACAACGGTCACTCTGGGATCAGGAATGGAACAGTATTGTCTTTAGTGACGAGTCTCGATTTTGTTTAGGCATGCACGATGGTCGTGCCAGGGTTAGAAGGCGACGTGGTGAAAGGAGGAATCCACAGTTTTTTGTTGAAAGACATGTTCATCACACTGTTGGAGTTATGGTTTGGGGTGCTATAGCTTATGGTTCCAGGTCACCTTTAATCTTCATCAGAGGTAACATGAACGTGCAGCGTTATATCCACGAAGTTCTAGAACCCCATCTTTTACCCTATCTTGACACCCTGGCAGATCCAACTTTCCAACAAGATAATGCCCGACCACATGTTGCAAGAGTCACAATAGACTTCTTTCAACATAATGATGTCACATTGTTACCACAGCCACCAAGATCTCCCGACTTATCCCCAATTGAGCACGTGTGGGATATGATGGGTAGGAGATTGCTCAATTTGCAACGTCCTCCTCAGACTCTAGAAGCACTTCGAGAGGAGTTGGTGGTTGCCTGGAATGAGATACCACAGGAGGACATTGACCACCTGATCAGAAGCATGCCTAGGCGCGTTGGAGAATTCGTAGCACATCAGGGTGCATCCACACATTATTAAAGGTCAAAGGGCTTTAAAGCAGTGCAATCATTTTGAAATTTTTATCACTTACTTATTATGCTTCATTAAGTACTTATACAAAATTTTATTAAAATAAAATCATTTAAACTGGGTGTTCGGATTTATATGTCACTTAGTATAAAATATGACAACTAGTCGGACGACTTTGAAGCCGCAACAATTGAAAACGTGCATGGACAGTAGGATGCGTAAGTGCTTCATTGATGATTCGAATGTGTCATTGTGACTTTTCGTGTTGACGGAGCAACTTATCATTCGACTTCTCCTTATTTGTATCCCTAGTGATTCTTTTTGCATATTTGTGAAATTATTGATGGTAAGGCACTTCTACATACGTCCACAAGGCAGAATAACGTGTTTCGTTCCACATGTAAATATTGGTTATGTTTATGAGTTGTTTGCGTTTCCCAGAGGCGTTGGTGTTATTCTCTAGCCTCACATTGGATATTTTAATGTTTCTCGACTCAGATTTTTGCCCATTGTTCACTTTAAACATTTAGTTTTATTATTTTTTTATTCATGGACAGCATACTGTGCCCCTTTTTTCTTATATCCAAGTTACGGATACATTATTTTGCTCAAATTAATCAAAACTTCATATTTTCTGTGAATTGCATACTTTTTGTGGATCATTTTTTCCCCTTCGTACCTCTTGATAGTTTGAATCTCCTGAATTGTTCATATCAATACTAAACTGCCACGCAAACTTAACCGGACAAACAAAATTTTGTTCAAATTAAATTTTAAATAACTTTTTAACCTTTGTAATTTGATTTTCATCATGATCGACTGTCGAAAAAAATTTAAAATGTTTGTTGTTATACACGGTGTAAGTAAAAGGTGCATTTTGCCCTAAATTTCTGAACACCCTGTGGAAACATTGGATTACTGAATAATGTGTCTTCGTATAAGAATTTTAAGCCTCAAATTTTCTCAACAGTTCTTTTTTTTATTCATGTCAATATCTCAATTATTGAAGAATATATGCTGTTTTGAAGAAAATCATACGAATCATAGCAATAAACAAGACACATTATTCAGTAATCCAATGTTTCCATAGGGTGTTCAGAAATTTAGGGCAAAATGCACCTTTTAGTATAACAAACATTTTCAACTTTTTGCAAGATCGGCAGTCGACCATGAAATTACCTACAACTTGACGAAAAAATTAACGAAATTGATCCAAAGGTTAAAAAGTTATTTCAAAGTTAATTTGAACAACATTTTGTTTTTCCGGTTAGTTTTGCGTGGCAGTGTATAAATGAAATCAAGTCCTTCCAGTAGCAGCAAGATATATGTTTAATTCATTCGAGGAATTCCAACGTCTTCAATTTGGGCTATTAGATTAGTGGTGCTTGTAAAGTTGACGTTTTTCTTTTTCTGCCTGCCTTATCTGACATACGAGTATATTGAATGAAAATATACTCTATTTCTTTTCACTACTAGCTTATGCCTTATTTAGAAGTACCGTTTGTCTCCCAAAACGAAAAACAAGACGAAGATTCGAAGTTACATGATTCTGTTTTACTGTACCAAATAAAACACAATTTATCACTTGATTTATATGATGGACTGAACAAGTGGAACCTCTTGAAAAATTGCCACAAAAAGGAAATGTTCGTACTATTGAATCCGGCTCCCACTTCGAATACAGATTCTAGGCTATGCCACTGGATCGCGATTCCAATAAGTGGCCCCTAAAGCAGGCCATTTTCACCCGTACTCCCCCATGGCTCATCGACATGTGCGCGAAAGACTTATTTTTGATCTTATGTATGAATCAAGAGGTTTATGTTTTATAGTAGTCGGAAGCCTAATCCTTTTGATTTTGTCTCTCTGCCTCTTCATTGCATAGGATTGTCAGAATACTTAATATAAAATATCACAATATTCCTCCGTCGCTTCATTCAAGATATGTAAATATTATTTCTTCAAAAAAACAACAGCATCTCGATCCGACCGAATTTCTTTAAGCGAACATGATCGAAGAGTCATGAAACTCTGTCTATATAATAAATAACACACAGAAAAAGACGTAATGCAGTTATTCTCCAAGACTTCGTCCCGATAATGCCAAGAGCTATCGCAAGTGTATTGTAAGTGAGAAGAATGCTTCACCAAAAAGATGTGTAAATACGAGTACAACTTATATTGTTAAAGCGTTTCCTGTCATTGAGGTACATATCACCCTAAGTAGTAATATAAACAATGAATATTGTATTAAAACACCCTTCCTCTGTATGCCCTCCCTTCCATTTCATTTCTCAAATTCAAGTATCAATTATCAAGTGTCTGGAAACTGTTGAACGGTAGAGAACGTTTTGGAATAAGAGATTAGTGGTACCGACCAGATCTTGATGTATCAACTACTACTAGGACATGAGGGAACCTAAAAGAGGATTCAGAGAAACACTATCTATAAAAGAAAAAACTACTACTGGGGTTGCTGGATAGTTGGAGTTATGTATAAAGGGAAGCAAATCATCAAATACAAGATCAGTATTCCAGGCTGAGGAGGTTGCATGGTGTAAATATTTAGTTTCATACAAGAGTTCATAAATCATGAGACTATACAAATCATTTATTTTAAATTAATTAAGGAACTATATACTATAAGCTAAAGTACCAAATTATCTCGTATGTATCAGTACGGTATAAATTTAAGTATACATTTCATTATCGAGATTAAAAGATTAATATTTGGCTTATTCATGTTTCATCAGGGCGACTAACTCGAGTTGTCAGAGTAATGTAATATTTGCATGATACGTATATTTAAAATACCTCCGACATAGGCTAGATTTATAACTGAGATCAGTCTGTTAAACCTATATTTGCCTATATTCTGTACTATTCTCACTATCCAATAATTACTTAGCTAAGTCTACGAAGCAGTTGATGAAGTAAGTCGAATATTCTCCTTTTTCTCGTTTTAGTCTAGAACCAAAATTGAGTAGTATAAAGCTACAAAGCATCACACGCCACTGTTGACATGATGCGTCTTTGAGAAAGATGATTTCCGCCCACACGTACACAAAGACGGCGTTACCAGTGGCGTACGATGATTTATGTTACCCTCATCCACTTCAACTAAGAAGCAGCTTCCGATTTTGCATTAACACTTATTACAGTACTATCATGCCTCAGTCGCCGACTACATTGTTTGGAATCCAACCAAATTATATAGTAGCATGTCAAAACCTGCGCAGTTGATATTAAGCTCCTTGGAAGTTTTGGTAGTTCAGTCTATACTCTATTGGATGAGATCTGGACACGTGCTTCCTCAAGCCGTATCTCGTGTATAGTCTACTATTACTGTTACACTGGCCGTACATACATGAGAAGCTTCTCTGGATTCCACAGTGTCTCCTCTGGTGACAGTACAATGACAGCTTGGTCATGTAAGTGTTGCCGCACTTTGCGCATTCGTGGAGTCCTTAAACAATAAAAGTGTCATATGGTGCTAACATGCCAAATGAAATAAACTAAACAGTCACAACTTACCTTACCTTACCTTACCTGACTGGTAAAGGGTAATTTTGATAAAAATCAGTAGTACTACTATGTTTACCAGGTCACCACGGAGGACTAAGTACCGCGGGGCTATGGGTGAATTCACGGAACACAAATGAAAGGATTACTACACGTTTCGTAACATCACAAGAGCGCTTTCTGAGAAATAAAGAAATATGCACCCAAAAAATATTTAATAAAAACTAATTTTACTAAAACAGCAAATATAACTAAAGCTAATGTAAGTATAAAGCATATTTGCATTTATTTAACCAGTAATCCATGAAAAGTCACCAGTCACATGAAATTATGAACCTAATTTTTATGCAAAAACTCAAACTAGGATCGCTGAACATAAAATAATGCAAGCAACGAAAATTTTATGAAGAAAATAACAAAAATATACATACATTAAATGTTTACATTTAATCGTCTTTACCCTATGGTTCGTAATCTAAAACTTACAAAGAACTCAATGTCTTCAACGTAACCAACGATTCCTTCTATTAACTCTGAGTGGAAATATCTGGGTTAATATAATAAAATGGCAACTACAACGCAAGCAAAATCCAACTAAGCTCTATTTGTGATGTATTCATATTTAAATTATTATAATTTTCCTTTTATGGTATATTACGAACTAATGTTTTATCATTTATCTCATCCTTCACAAATGTCGCTTTCAGTCAATGCAGTATAATTTGGATAGTTACTTGGTATTTTATAATTTGAACTACGAAACGTCTAGTTGCTACGAGGATCAAATGAGACCTTATTGGAACTGTTTGCCAAATTATTGAACTGTTTGACTATGATAGAATGTTTCAATGAAATATTCTGAAGAACATTTGACTTATCTTTGAGAAATAACCTTTCGGTTGATAAACAATGTGACGGATGCAATAACAGTCATACATAATTAAGTTCGGATCCTTCTCCTGACGCCTAGGCCTAAGACAAAAACTGGTATTGGTTCAGGTCCACTCTGTAACATCGTCCTTTCGCAAAAACTGAAAACAAAAACGTGACCCATTTTTTAAAGACCGATTAATATTATGCTCTACTGAAATGTCATGCTATCAAGAAACAACAGTGACACAGAATCAACTATTGATTTTAAAATTCATACGAAACATACCAAGAGTTGCCTACAGTGGTAACTTTCTACCATAACCAGTCAAAATTAATAAACATCTTTATGAAATAATTTTTATTGAAAACATCCGTATACATGTATTGTATAGGGCATAATTTAGTACAGTCATCAATCCTAGTACACATGTAGATAAATTGATAACAATTTCACAAAAAGTCAATGAAACTCTGATTATCAGTCACTTGTATGCGGCGTATGTCGGCAGTTGGAAGTTGAAGAGGGAGGAGGGGGTAGTGGCGGTATCTGCATCAGTGCTTCTGAGAGTGAATGCCCTTGTAAAAATTGATGCGGGAGGGGTGTCGGCCATAGACTCAAAAACATATTAGTGGCCAATATGGATCGCTCCGGGAGTATAGTAAAGATATAGCATGCTGTATTTATTATACATTGAATCGCTTATAACTTGGCAGCTAATAATCAAAACGTATCTGATATCTTCTTATGGAAGGGTCTATCTGACTATGCAAAAATATGGAATATTTATTTGAAAAACCTGACAGACTTTTGACATTTTTTTAAGTAAATGGTTCATATTTTATCACATATTCGGATAGACGCTCCCAAGAGAAGATATGGCATACTATAGTGTTATGATGATTGGTTGTCGGTTTATAAGCGACTCAATGATTGTACAAAAATGCTCACGCTGACAACCTGTCAGTTCATCATTTTAAAAGACTGTGATTTTATATTTTAGGGTTACAAAGTAGTCATATGGGTCTTTAAAATGAGGTACCACAGGATTTCCCATTCCATATTCTCCAAAGAGGCGCCCATCCGCCATTCAGACATTTTCAACTGCCACTTTTACGCTAAAAAGGTATTGTGCAGGGTGACCAATATACAGGGTTATCCAAATTAAGTGTCCACCATTAGTAACTTTGTTATTAGTGAAAATACAAAGTTGTTTGAATTAGCAAACTAGTAGCATTTTTAACGCTGGTAAAAATGAGAAATAAAAAAAAACAATTGAGAGTCGTTATTTTGATTTTTTTCAGTAAAATAACATTTTTTTAAATGGAAACCCCTGTATATTATATTTTTTTCTGTTAAAGCATCAAATTTTAAACAAAAAAGCTTACAATAACTTTTCTCCTAGGTTACAAATTGTTGAAGTTATGGCCTCCAATCTGAAACAATTAAATTGTATCGACAAACTTTATTTTCAACATCAACTTATAATCTTACAAAATACAATAACAATTTTTTTTAAAGAAGATGCTCGAAAACACCACCTTGTTCTTCAATACATTTTTGGGCACGTTTTTCAACTGCTCGAACTGTCTTAAGTATGGTCCTACCATCTATCTGGGTTATCTTTTCCCTAACTGCAGTCTTTAACGCGTCAAGGTTATCGTACCTTCGCTTGTAAATTTGGTTCTTTAAGTAACCCCACAAGAAGTAATCAAGTGGGTTTAGATCTGGTGATCTGGGAGGCCACTGTATTGGGCCATTTGTTCCTATCCACTGATCATTAAAAGTAGTACTTAGAAAATGATAAGTACCTCTGGAGTCGTGGGCAGGTGCGCCATCTTGCTGAAAATGCAGATGATGTCTACTTATAAGATCCAATTCGTCTAAGAAATTAGTCAGAATTTCTGACATAAATTCCACATATCTTTCACCAGTTAGGGTTCCCTCATAAAAGAACGGGCCAACAATTTTTGAACCAATTATACCGCACCAAACGTTGAAACTGAAACGGATTTGTGGGCCTCTTGGATGTACTAACAAAAGATTTTCTCTTGACCAATAATGGTGGTTTTTTCTATTAAACATTCCAGAATTTGAAAAATTTGATTCATCTGTCCATAAAAGGTAACGAAAGTTATTTACATTTTGGCGACAGAAGCTAAGATACCAATGGCAAAAAATAAGTCTTCTCTCTGGATCCCCTGCCAAAAGCGTTCGAACTGGTCGGTACTTATACGGAATAAATTTGTATTTTTTTAAAATCCTTTGAACAGTACCATAACTGAAATTAGAGTCCTTGAGAATATCTGCTATTGAATTCTCACGATAAGCTTCAAAATATCCAATAACTGCAATTTCCGTGGCCTCGCTTATTATGAATTCTTTTTTTGCCCTTGTTTTAGCAAAAACATTTTCGTTGCCCCTAAATTTTCGATAAAGTCTCAGAAAATATCGTTCATACGGTTGAATGCGAGCGGGATATAATTCACTGTAGTATTCTCTTGCTCTCAAGGAGGATTTTCTGCACACTAAATAGCATTCTAACATATCACACTTTTCTTCATGGGAGAACATTTTTCTTTAAATTAATGACACAATAAAGCTTATAAACAAGTATTTACACTAATGTTTGACATTATTTGATTTTATCATTGTTTTCCAAAGCCTTCTAGTTGCGAGTATGTCCAGTTTAACAATTTATCTTAATGCTGTCGAATCGCGAACGCCATGTTGTTTTCATAGCCGTCTTAATATTATAATACTGCAAATAATTAAAAATATTTATCGTTATTTTGACTTTATTTTTGACTTTAGCGGAAAAGTCATTATGAACTTTTTTGTTTAAAATTTGATGCTTTAACAGAAAAAAATATAATATATAGGGGTTTCCATTTAAAAAAATGTTATTTTACTGAAAAAAATCAAAATAACGACTCTCAATTGTTTTTTTTTATTTCTCATTTTTACCAGCGTTAAAAATGCTACTAGTTTGCTAATTCAAACAACTTTGTATTTTCACTAATAACAAAGTTACTAATGGTGGACACTTAATTTGGATAACCCTGTATAAGGCAAAAACCAATTCTTAAGGAAATCCGCATTAGTTCGCGGGGTCTAGGACTCACCCCACCCCCTCCTTGTGTATAATTATTACATCTAACAGATGTATAGGATTACCGAAGCTTCTTTATAAGATGCAAGGATTAGAACTAACCCTTATCCCAGACAATCTCCAATTTTCAGCCCTTCCAAAATCAAATTTTAAAAATGAGCAAGGAAGGCTGTTTTTTTGTAAAAAACCAGACAAACAGACCAACATAAATCAGTGACATTCTTTTATTCTAAAGTAAATGTCATGTAACATCAAAAAATTGGTGTGGAAAGTAAAAAATGAAAGACAACATTACACAATTACCCTTTCAAGCTCAATATTCTGTCCCCATTCTTCAATTTCACACATTATACTTTTGATAATTTTCCACAAAAAATTCTGCATGCATCTTCCTCATATGATCTTTCAAAGTAAACATATGCTTCGCCTTGTATTCGCAAACTTCACACGAAAATCTTGGCATCTTCTGACACTCATACCTCTGATGTCGTACCAGGGATATTTTATTTTTGTAGAACTTTGAACAGCTTTTGCACCGAAATTGTTTATCTAAAACACAGTCTTATGGTTAGTATACTATATTAGTTCAAATCTACGGAACTGCCAAAGGCACCATTGGGCGGTACGTTGCCCCGTATTTAAAACTGGCAAATGTCAGCTTCTTGATAGCTACGTGAATTAGGCAATGAGGTTGTAGTATTACAATAGGTAACAGGAAGTTTTTGAGGCAAAAACATCTCATATTATCCTCTTGTTTTCCGGAGTTTAAATGGAACCACACCTCTAGATATGAGATTTGACTAAGTTTTCGGGCACCTGGGTGCCCTTTTTCAAAGTATAACCGGCAGATAATATGGAGAATTATCAGCATGAAAACCACAGAAAAACTTTCAGATGTTACATTAGCAACTGTTTGGAACCAAGTGCAGCTAGCTTGGTATGAGACACCTCAAACTGTGTACGGTATCAGGGTACACCAACAAATTGTTAGAGTTATCTAGCGATACAGGATATGTTTTACCTTCAAAGTTTAATCTCGACTGCCCTTACTCTGTCCAACACTTTTACGATGTTCTATTTATATTGTCACTGAATATATGAATGCACTAATCATTTTATGGTAAATAGGCGTATTGAATACACAGTTTTTCTTTTTCTTCGGCCTTACTTGTTAACAATTAAACCTCATTTACTCCAAAAATCAATAAAAAAAACTAAAAACTTGTATATGTTTATTCAATAAAAATACATTTTCCATAACAGTATTTATATATTTTGGTAATAATATTAACCTGAAAAATAAATTCTTTCTTAAGTCAATTCATTGGGGAAGCTCTATCATAGCAAATTAAATCGTCATTGTTTGAATAGTATGCATACAATGATTGTGCCAATAATGTGTTCGCCCATTATTTTAAAAAAATAAGAAAAACGCATGTAGCAAGAAATTAAACATAGAGCTTAGGGAAAATTTCAATTTGTTTGCCATGATACAAATGATTCACAAAGTAAAGCACCATGAAATTGCACATATTTGTAACAAAAATTAGTGTTGGTTAATTGCATAGGTATGACTGACGCCTAAATAGCTTAAAAACCCTTCCACACATAGTGTAGATACAATTTTATATTGTGAAAAATACGATTAAAGTGCAACGATTTGTCACCAATCTCTTTTTTGTCCTCCAATTCTTATAATTGCTAGGATTCCAGCATCAATTATAGATGTACTTTCACAATAGAGGTATGACTGTTTCTTATAAATTCTGAGCAACGCGTCTTCATGACCAAATCCATTTACCAACACTAATAAAGTGTTTTGACAATCACAAATACCAAATACGTAAACGTTAACACCATTTGACGTTTACCTCATATAAATCATCAGGGGAGAAAGGTTAAAAGGTTAAACGGCGCGTTATATGGCGCTATCATCAGCTGGATACACTTCTTATTTCATGTTCTGTTGTGTCGTGTCATACGTGCTTGATAAGTTAACACTTCGGTACGTCAACGGTGCTTAACATTCGAAAAATTACAAACTTTGACC